TCCCAGGCTTTTTCAGACCCAGGCCAGCTGGCCTTGGTGAGTTCCCAATAGAACATCCCCATTGTCTCAGTGTGTGGGTGCACCCCTCACGGTCCTGAGTTCCTTGCTCGTGCTCTCTCTTCTTCTGCTCCTGATTTGGACCTTGAGATTTCAGTCCAGTGCTCCAATGTGGGTCTCTGTCTCTGTCTCCTTTCATCATCTGATGAAGGTTAATATTCAGGTGGATGCCTATATGTTTTTCTTTGGGTTCTCCTTATTTAGCTTCTCTAGGATCACTAATTATAGGCTCAATGTCCTTTGGTTTATGGCTAGAAACCAAATATGAGTGAGTACATCCCATGTTCCTCTTTTTGGGTCTGGCTCACTCAGGATAGTGTTTTCTATTTCCATCCATTTGCATGCAAAATTCAAGAAGTCCTTGTTTTTGATTGCTGAGTAGTACTCTAATATGTATATATTCCACACTTTCTTCATCCATTCTTCCATTGAAGGGCATCTAGGTTGTTTCCAGGTTCTGGCTATTACAAACAATGCTGCTATGAACATAGTAGAGCATATACTTTTGTTGTATGATAAGGCCTCTCTTGGGTATATTCCCAAGAGTGGTATTGCTGGGTCCAGAGGTAGGTTGATCTCATCTGGTTTTCTTTTCTGGCTGTGATGTAGAGTGATGGGGATTGTTCCTGAGAAGTCCAAGAGGCAGCTGTTGACAACGACTGCGGATCAGACTAAGATGAGGAAGCTGACGAGCAGTGTGGAGAATCACCTAGTGATGAAAAAGGGGTGTCAGTTACAGTGGGCTCCTGCACATCTGCATCCTACTCTACTTTATCTCAGGAAGACACTTCTCCCCACTTCACAGACTGTGCAGCTCAGGATTTTTTTTTTCTTTTTCTTTTGGATGTATTTATTTCAAACCTTTCTGCCATTTTGTCCTTCAAATGAAAATGACATTTTGAAATATATTTAAAAAGAGGCCGAATAAAACTAAAACAAGTAAAAGGTCAGTCAGTAACCGGCATTTCTGGTTCTCCGGGCCTTTTATTATACTTTTTTGGTTCATTTGAGACTAGGTTTTATTTGTGGCCCGAGCTTGCTTGGAACTTCCTGTGTACCACAGGCTCTTACTTACCTCATCTTCTCAAGTCCTGTGCTGACAAGTGTGTGCAACCACACCCGAGTTCACAGTTCATGAAAATGTCATCTTCAATCCTTACCTTCCAGAGGAGACATCACGGTCATGCAGATGGTTTCCTCAGGGCAAGGCTCACCCACTGCACTTGGCGTGTGCTGACCCCTGCAATTTCCAAAAATGCAGGAGTCTGGGATGCATAATTTGTAGCCCATATTCCCTAGAGTAGAAAATAAATAAAAATGGTCATGAGATAATTACACCTGCTCATAAAAAAAGCAAAATAAAACACAGAACTTTGTATTTACAGATATTAGGTATAAATCTTTTACACTAAGCATTCTTATAGGAAATATTTTGAAATAATAAATGAAAATCGGAGTCTTGTCCATCTTCACCACACTTCTCTGTGCTTGCTCTAGACTGCATATGGCAAAATCTAACCACGACAGTGTTGAGAATGAGCTTCACTTTGCTTTAGTAAACAGGTCATTTCAGTTCTAAAGGACACAAATATTAGCATCGTAGATCCATGTGCACTAAAGTCTAGCATAGTACATTGATCAAACGAGATTAGGTTTTTTTGTTTTGCTTTGATCGATTAACTGTTTGCTTTGTCATGATCTCACCATGCAGTCCAGGCTGCCTTGAACTTGGTGATCCTTTTGCCTCAGCCTCCTGAGTGCTATAATTCTAAGTATGTACTACTGTGCCACCTCTTAAATAATCTTTGTCTATTCTGTTTTTGTCTTAAAGACTATCATAAACCTATAGCTACTAATGCCCAGAGTATTCTATTTGGTGCTATTATCCAATAAACTTTTTATCGGGATCCATGCAATGATAATGATAATGGTGATAATGAATGATAATAATAGTTCCTCATCTTCTGTTTTCTTACTTTGAGATCGGATCTCCTCCTGTAGCTTGGCTCAAACTCTCTACACAATCAAAGATGGCCTTTTATTCCTGATCCTCCTGCATTTGCTTGCCAAGCTCTGGGATTCTAGCTAAATGCCCCTGTGTTGATCAGACACTATAGCAGACATTAAATATAAGTTGCACTAATAGCATTTTGCCTAAACAATGATATTACAATGCAAACATCAGAGCAAGGAATAGTCTTGTAGGTCTTTAAACGACTCCATCAGACAATTCCAAGTTTGCATTAGTTTACATTATGAAAAGTTTTTATATGTGTCCTCTCAGGCCTCACTCCTGCTACTCACAAGTCCATGTTCTTACGTAAAGAAAACTGAAGTTGAAATGTTGAGAACAAAATAGATAAACTGAGTTGATAAGTGTCTTTATTACACTCTGCCTGCACATTTTCCTACTGAACAGAACTGTGGAGCAGTGTCCCTATGGCCACCCTACTGTGCCAGAGCACACCACAACTTGCGTCCACTTCTTGTCCTAGGTCAGCGAGACAGCCCTGTGGCTAAAGAGCTGATGGTACAAACATGGTAACCTGAGCTGAATCTCTGGGACAGCAAGTAGAGATGGAAGAACTGACTCCACAAGTTCTTGTTCCTTTGCTGTGATGTGAATAGATTCAAAGCACGAGAACTTTACTAGAGCAAATGCAATGCCCAGGACGCATACTGGGAGAGGATTTCATGCACCTATGTGGGCCACTTCCTCAGCCTAAGTTGAATGGACCTCACCAGGTGCCAATGGCCTGTCTGTACCTCACCTCTTGTAGTGTTTAACTTTTCACAGCCATGGAGACATCACAATGACTGGGCCAATGACTCTTCAGGTGATAAGTCTTTCCTTATATGGAAATGAGTGGTAGCTGGAAACTGTATAACCTCTTGGGGTTGTGATTCTGATCTGGGGGCAGTACTTTCCACTTCTGTCTACAGTTACATCTCATTGCATCCTCTCTGCTGGGCAGGTGCCTGGCATGTACTACTCTCCATGCTAATCCACATGTGTCTTCAAGGTGTTCTTGTGTCGTGGTATTTAGTGAGTCAGCACAGTCAGCTTGTGGTTCCTGCACGTCAGTACCGACTGTCTACAAGAGATTTTGATCACAGAGACAAATCCCACTAAACCACTATGAATACATTCCTAACTCACTGTACTTTAAATAAAAATGTCAGCAGCGACTCAACTGTGTGTTGTAGGGAGACAAGAGAGACAGAATGAGTAAGATGGGGCATCCTAATTGATGGTGGAAAAATAACTTGACCAATGTCTCTGCAGTGAGTACATGGCAAGTGTCATGGTGGTGGCACATGCAAGTGAGGCACTCGGGAGCTGCTTTCGTTCGGTTTCTAATGTCTGAGCGGAACATAGTATATTGAACTGGCAACTGGACTGTCAAAATGTCAGTGTTGGGGCTGGAAGGATGGCCCAGTGGGTAAGTCCCTTGCTATGGAAGCATGAAGACTGGAATTCACATCCCCAATATCCAGTGGGACACCTGTTCCATGTGCTCAGAAGACTAACCCTACCAAGAACCAGAGTGAGACCCCAGTCTGCTCCTTACTTCCTTGGGTACGAGATTTCCTCTTCACACACTTGTAAATGCAAATGCAAATGGCAATGCAAATGGAAATGCCAATAATGACAGCCAGGATGATGAGGATGATGATGACAATGGGGGTGCCTCCTTCTGTGACGCTAGATCCTCCCTTACTGGGGGGCTGCTCGGTAGATAGGAGCTGGGAGGTGTTCATGGTAGATGGAAGCTGGGAGGGAGATGTAACAATTCCAATATCTGGGGTCCTTGACGTTGATCCTAAAAAAAAAAAAAAAAAGTCAGGAAAATTCTGGATAAAGCTGAAAACAAATCCCCAGGCCTTCTCTCCCCAGGCAGCCCGAGGGGCTCATGTGTAATAACTGTTTATAACTCCTGAGTAGAAAGAGGAGTAGAGATGTGTGGACGATGTCCTTGCAGAGTTTATGTTATTAACAAAGAAAACAAATGTCTCTGAAACTATCAAACACAGGGCATATTAACTGTGGTTACTACGTTCTGGATATCAGGGCAATTGCTGCTGTTTAATTGTGCCAGAGAAAGATAATAAATCCTTTCAAAGTGATGTGGAGTTGGTGGAAGGGCAGCTACAAGTGAGGAAGGAAAGTCTGGAGGTTCAGTGATGCATGCAGACCTCGGGCTCATTAGCAGGCCATGCAGTGCCTGGGCCATTGGTTAGTAGGGAATGAGAAATGCTGGGAGGTGAGATGGGAAGAGAAGTCCTCGTGGTCACCTCTGGCTTCCCAGGTAGGAAGACTAACAAGAACTCATTCCCTCAGTCTACCAGATCTTCCATTAGGAACATATGCTGGCATCCACATAGGGAAATCATCAGATTTTCAAGATAACTCTCATGTCTTCCCCACCACATGGAGGTTTCCTTGTGATAATCCATGTATCTACTTACTTGCCATTTTCTTCAATTGTGGTAAGATTACCAGGAAGCAGCGACGAGAATCTCCTCTGATGAATGTTTCTAGATGTCGTAGTAGATTGGTGTTATTCTGCCATTTGTCTATACCTGGGGTTTTATTGGGAGTCAGTGTACATTTTTTGTTCTTTGAATCAAGGCAATTAAAGCCAAAAAAAAGTTGTCCATCAAGAGTGAAATTCCAGTAGCCATATATGGGTTTTCCTTTTTCATATAGACATACCACTGTGACCTGCAAGCTGTGATCACCTGCAAATGACACACAAACCATCACCTTCTATCCTTTACAGAACCATCACCCCCTCCAAGGTCAAGGCTTTCTCCACATGCTTCAGGGAACTGTATTCTTTCCTGCCCAGCTTGTTATTTCTTACCCAATGGGTACCAGGTACTTCCAGCCTGTAACAGTATTCAGCTCTTTCATGCACATACAGCCACAGCCCCCTTCCCACATGGGCTCTGCCCTTCCTGTATCTGATTTCTTTGCATCCTGTCCTATACTTACCCGAGGTCAGGTCTCCCCACAAGTCTTCTTTAATGTCATTTAGTTTGGAAAACAAATATGCACATTTCTTAGGAGCATTTCCCTCCTTTCTTGTGTCATTCTTATCATCGGAATGGAAAGGCACTCCATCCACTGAGCACTGTGTTAAGGACTCTGTAGGTTTGGAACAAGCCTTCACAGTGAAGTTGCAGCTAAGAATGTGTGGATCTGTGAAAGAAACATGCAGGGGAGGTAGAAAGTGGGGGCGGGAAGCCATAGGAACCCTGGTTATGTGACACCCAGAATCCTTCTGAAGGGCAAAAGAGCAGGAGGAGAAACCTCTGTTCCAGATGTCCACCAGCTTCTGGATCCTCATTTCTGTGCCATCCTTGATTGTCTGAGGGTGGTAGGACTCCCAGATGCACCCAGTGTCACCAGAGGGATTTATCTCACAGGTACTTTTAGTGACTTTAATCAAGTGTTGAGGAATAAAATATGCCAGATAGTATCTGTTCCTGGGACTGAAAATCTACTGAACACATAGAACATGTGGTAAATTCAATATGGAGCATGGGAATTCAGGAAAAGTCTCCTGAAGTTTTGCTGCGAATTGGCATGGAAAGGGAGCTGTCACCCGTGAGCACAGTACTCATGCGTGTACCCACTGGGCCACTTCAGACAACGATGTTGGGGTCAGATGCCAGATTCCCCCTTGTTAGACCACACCCCTAAGTCATTCTTGAGAAGAGATCTCTGTGACCTGCTCGAAGCCCCAACCTCTCTCCCCTTCCTGGGACAGTTGTTTTCCAGCACACTTATAGCCCCTGGTCTCCCAGACTTACTAGCAGCAACAGAAGACACAATATCCTAGAACTGTTCTGTTCAGCAGACTACACAAACAAGTAGGCAAAACCCAGTGAGGCATACACACATATATTCTCCTGTGTGTGTGTGTGTTGTGTGTGTGTGTGTGTGTGTAGACTTGAAATCTAAAATAAACAATATTTTATGGGAATGTTTAACAAGTTTGCAATATCATTACACTAGAAAAATGCAAAGTGATATTTTAAAAATCCCTCTTTCCCTCCTCCCTCTCCAAAACGTCTGCTATGAGGTGGACTGCTGCAGGTTTGGGGACATCCTTTCCTGTCTCCTTTGACCAGCTTCCTCTTCCCACTCCTCTCTGCCTCTTCTGCCATCTTTCTTCTACCCTGGGGGAGTATTTTATCACAGTAATAGAAATGAAGCCAGAACAACACATGTCAGATCCCCTGGACATACTGCAGTGCTCAAGGGATGGCTTCCTGGACCTGGTTAAAGGATCACCATGCCCACACTGTAAGACAAAGAAAATCTAGGCTGGTTGAATCTGGCAGTAGAAGAGTGGGTATCAAGAATCTCAGAGAAGTGCATGTGCCAGAGTGGATGGAACAGCAAACATCTCCAGGGGAAGTGTGCAGAGTCCATGCTGTCTGTGGATGCTGGAGCATCCCTGCTGAGAAGCACAGTGAAAAGGACCAGGGAGAAGGACACCAGCATTGCTGGAAACTCAGAGATGATGACCCAAGGCTGGGGTGGGGTTAGGAAACTGTATTTCTGAGTCCCAGAAAATATAGTACAGAAAGGATGCCATCAGGTGGGGTAGTCAGGAGGCAGGACCTTCAAGGACAGTGGTCCATAGATGAGTAAGGGAGACCACCCACCTTGAAGCCTAACTTCTTAAGGGTGTCATGGCTAACAGAACACACAATCCTAAATAAGATAGATGCTTAGCCACCTGTATGTGACTGCATTTTAATAACTAAAGGCAAAGAGATGAACAGGAGTCTGAAAGTGGACGACCCAGGGCTCCTGTGTCCACTGTTTAAAGCTGAACCACTGAGGTTAGAGAGATGGCAGAGAAGTTAAGGGCACTTTCTGTTCTTGCAGAAGATCCAGATTCATTCCCAGCAACAACATGGCAGCTCACAGCTGCTTGTAAATTCTGTTTTAGGAGATTGTATGGTGTTTAGGTTTCCAAGCACACACATTGTATGCATACATAATGCAGTCAAGATCTTTTTCACATAAAATAATATATCTAAAAAACTGTATAGCTAAACGGCCTCAAAGACAAACAGATTGCCTTCTTAAGAGGACAGATCAGGTCCCAACAAGGAGGGACCACCCAGCTACACAGCATGTGCAGTGGTTTTTCCTGTATCTTAGTAACTGCCCTGTGACTCAGGTGGGAACCCCTAGGTGCGACTGTGAATGTCCTGTTCCCTCATCTAGAGGCAGAGACTGAGGTCAGCTCTCAAGTAAGCTGCCACCTCTCCCTCAGCAAGCACCTCAGGTTACAAAGAGTGATGGAGGAAGGTCATTGAGCAATAAAGAAACTGCTTGGCTGGCCCTGATAGGTTAAAGCATAGGTGGGAGTTAGAGAAGGGATCCATGCAGATTCCATAGTGTGGGCCCTACTGGGAAATCCTGTTTAAAACAAAACAACCACAAGAAAAGGAATGAAGAAAAAGAAAAAAAGTAAGAATGTGTGTGGCTGTGAATATCTTGTCCCTAGAAGCATCTACTGCCATCTGCTGGAGAAATGTCTTGGAAAGTTGGGAAAGAAAGTACAAGGACAAAGAGGCCCAGAATGGTGGAGGGCTTGTGAGGAATCCCCCAGAAGGCTGTCTTGAGATCCTAAACTGCCTTAGGTCAGGAGAGCTGTCTGAGACCACCTTCTGAAGGGGTTTTCAAGTGTGCCCAGCGGTCCAGTCCTGGTGACCGAGTTTTAGGTTTTCTACAGACCCCCCATCTCCCGTGGTGCCGAGGAGGCCACCAGATATCTCCTTCTGCCACCTAGCTCTCTTCATCCTTGTACCCCCTGCCCCGCTCTTCCTCCATAACTCCGCCCTAATCTCTTCAGTCCTCTGACTTCTGGGTGGGGTAGGCCAGGGCGCCCAGTGGCTGCCCTGTGAAGACTAGGAGGAGCCCAGGAGCTCTCTGATAGCCAGGAGTAAAATGAACTTCCTAACTTAGTCCCCCATACTGCAAAGTCCCTCCATGTAGACCCTGGGAACTCACCAGCCTGAACCGTTGGCCACAGGCAACTTAGTAGAACGCAAAGGGTGGCTGCAGCCTTTGCCATGGTTCCTTCCTGAGAGCCGGCTACCGACAGGTGTGGCTGAAACTGTGGAGAGATTTGGAGAGATTAGGGGGTCCTCAGTACAGCTTAGCAGAGCACTCTGTACAGGGATTCGCGAAAGTTCTGAGCACTGGGGTGCTGAATTCAGGCTTCCCCATGCTCCAGTCGGTTCCTAGTTCCCATCTTTTCCTACAACTCTTTGGGGTCCCTCCTGGGCCCCGGGGCTCTGATTCTCCCTCCCTGCCTACTGTGGTCCCTGTGGCGTGGAAAGTTCCCTGTGAACTAAGAGGGGAGAACACTGTTGTCCTGGGCTCTCACACGCCCACACCCCGCGGTCCCTTCCTCTCACCCACAGCTCTGCGCCTCAGGGACAGTGAGCAAAAGAATCAGGAAGATACAGAATGAATTCAGTCCGCACCTGCTGGTGGTATCTGCGCAGAGGGCAGACAGAGTCTGAGGAACTTACAGAGGAAAGTGCCTGCCCTGTGAGATGTCCATGCCCACTTCACACCCAGTGCCTCCCTGGAAGTTCCAGTCCTTGCCAAAGTAGGAGCCTCTGAGTCCTTGTTCTAGCAGTGTGCCTGCCTCTCCAGCAGCTCCACACACCCTGAATCTCTCAGACTCCAGCCTGCTCTCTTCCACTTCCTCGTTCTCAAGTTTCTCCTCCACCCCAGACTCATTTGCCCCTTCAGGCCCTTACCACCCTTCGTGTACCCTCAATGTTTCTGCTGTCCCCTGACTTGCCACTGTGCGCCGCCCCCAGCCCTATTTAGCCACCTCCCCACCTCCATTTACCCTCTCCCTATTGAAGACAATGTTAGGCAAGGCTGTGCTTTTCCCTTAACTCTGTGAACCTAAGACATTTAGAAAAGTTCTGGAAAAAAAAAAAAAACTCCCAATCTAAAGTAGCTTCTCGGGCTGGAGAGATGAGTCAGCGTTAAGAGCACCAGCTGCTCTTTTGGAATAAAAGCTCACAACCTTTCATTCGTTTTGTTTCGCTTTTTTGAGGCAGGATTTCTTTGTATATCCCTGCTGTCTCGGATCTCACTCTATAGATCAGGCTGACCTCGAACTCAGATATTGCCTGCCTCTGCCTCTGGAGTTCTGGAATTAAAGGCTAAAGGCCAACACCACCAGGCCTGGCAGTTCACAACCTGTAACTGCTTTTCCAGGAGAATCTATGCAAGCTTCTTGTACTGATGCAGGCTCTGCATATAGTGCGCACACACACACAAAGTAATACTAATAATAGATAAATAAAATTTAAAAGGAAAGTTAACTTTCATTTCTTTCTACTTTTGCCAAACCAGGAATTAGCAAACTACTTTTTTAAAGATTTATCTCATAGGTATACAGTGCTCTGCTTGCATGTCTGCTCACCCACCAGAAGAGGGCACCAGATCTCATTACAGATGTAAGCCACAATATGGTTTCTGGGAATTGAACTCAGGCAGCCTGCAAGAGCAGCCATGACTCAACCTCTGAGCCATCTCCCCAGCCCAACTGGCAAACTCTTTAATACTCAAGACAGAGGAGGCAGGGAAGCCTGCGGGGAAAGGAGAAAGATTAAAGAGTAGAAACAGATTAAATAACAGAAAGTGCTATTTAGATATTAAAACTCAGCTGTGGTTTCCCCCATCAAATGGTCTGGATCCTAAATGCAGCTCCTGAATTATTTATTGGGGTTAAGCCAGCACCTTCCAAGTGAGCAAAGAGATCTTATTAGACAAAAATTATACAAAACTACATATTCCCATAGAAATGTTTTCAAAAACACACAAGTCTATGCTATATCCCTAAGACATGGTATCTGGCAGAAGTAAGTAATGCCTTCTTGGATTTATTCATATGAGACACTTAAATATTCATTACATGTTAATTAATCAACTCCCCTCCCCCACACTGCCATAAATTTTAGCTACAAAATTGTAGCTCAGACTCCACAGACATTTAAAGTTCCCAGCTCTTCCCTACCGTTGTGTATTTATAAAGGCCGCCATTCATAACCGCTTTGTTCTGGTTTTCTCACTTTTTCAATTCAAAAGAAAGAAATTGCTGTCAGTAGAAAAGGGGGTGCTGAAATGCTAATTAATTAAATTAAAGGCACAGGCCTTTAATCACAGCACTCAGGCCCAGGCAGGAGGACCTCTGTGAGTGAGAGGCCAGCCTGGTCTATAGGGAAAGAGCCAGGACAGCCAGGGCTACACAAAGAAACCCTGCATCAAAACATACCCCCCCCCGCCGCAAAAAGAATAGAATCCAGTAATTAAGAGTTGAAGAGAGAGCTCACTAAAGTGACAGCCACAAAAGCATGAAGAGGAAGATAAGAGTTCAGATCCTAAGCACTCCACAAAAACATCCTCATCTGTAACTCCAAGGCTCTGGCCACCGCCAGCCACTGACTATAAACGAGTTGCAGGCACCGCGGTCCCTCGCCGCTCCTCGCCTCTCCCTTAAGCCCGCACCGCCAGCGCTGCACCGAGAAGAACGCGGCCGCGACTGCGCGGGTGCCCGGATGGCGCCCTCCTTCCCGCGGGGACCCCAATGCCGGGCCCGCGCCCCCCTTAAAAGGCCCTTTCCTGCCTTGGGTAGGAAAAAAAAATCCAGCGGAGGCTTCCTTCCTTCCTTTCTTCCTTCCTTCCTTCTTTTTACGTGTAACTTTCCCCAAACGGCGGAGACTGGACGCGATCTCCGGAAAATCACCTCACGGTCGGCGTCGACGAGCGCGGGAAGTGGCGAGCCGGGAGAGCAGAGGCAAACTCTTGGCCGCCGGGCTCGCCGCGGCTCGGCTGTGCTTACCTGTGAAGTCGGCGAGAGGCGCCTGCCTCTGCCAAATTCAGCCGGTCCTTTCTCCGAAGCCGAGCCGGGAAGCAAAGTGGCCGGGCCTCTTTCCCACTGCCTCGGTCTCCCGCACTTGAACTTCCCGCGCTCGCTCGCTCTGAGGCCGGCGCGAAGGTCACGCGAGCGCGCCGGGCTCCCGCCCTACCGATGCCGCCGCCGAACCCGGTCGTCTACGCGACCGTCCCCAGGATCCCCTCCCGAAGCCTGCGCTCCCTGGGGAGGCCGAGACTCCGCGGCGTTCCCCTGCCTCCACTCGGCTGGGCTCGCAGTGTCAAAAAAAGCCACAAAGTGACAAGCGCTTTCGCACTCCTTACCTCAGAGTGAGATGCCCACAGATTCCCCCACCAGCTGCTTCCTAGTCACTTGCCCACTCCTACCCCGAGTTTTCTCCTCTTTCCCAGAGGCGCACAGAAGTGGGGGAGAACCCCCTTCCCTCCTTCCCCTCCCCCGACCCCTTTAGCGCCGCCACTGTCTCCGCCAGGGATTGTCCAGGGCTTCAACTTCCTCCTTACAGCTGCCGGGCGCCTCTGGAAGACAGCCAGTTGAGCGGCTTGCCCGAAAACACTGGTTCACGTGCTTTCCTTCGCGATCCTTGTCCCCGCTGCTTCCCAGCTGGGTCGAAGAATGGCCCGAACAAATAGGAAAGGCTAAAGATTTGTCTGCTTCTGCACTTTCCTTCACCCCCCCCCAAGGCAATTCTCATAGTAGCGAATCCACCGGGTGCTGGTTAAATGTATACATTCAGCCATTAAAGAGTGGGCCCTGGTCTCACATCAATTGCTACCCAGGGGCTGAATACATGCCACAGGTCAAGAAAATAAGAAATGAAGTTCTAAGCTTGTATGGAGTTTAATTTGCCCTTTTCGAGACTGGAAGAATGCTTAATAAAGTCTGAAACTTGCACTTCCTTCCACATCCCAAATGGGATTTCTATTGATAGCTTCAGCGGGGTAGGCCTCTGTTCTAAGGGAAGCTGGGAGTTCTATCCCAACTTAGAAATCCCTGGTAAAGTGCCTAGACAGGACAGCCCTCTTAATGTACTCAGGCAAGAGGGCTGAGCTCTCCTAAAGAGCAAAACCTGCCTTTGTCAGGGCGTCAAATCTGGATCCAGCTAGTATTGTATTTCAATATTGACAGTTTTCTCTTATGGATAGACTGCAAAATGGCTTTGGGGAGTTTATGGTTCCCCTTTTCTACAAGGTTCTGGCTCAGAAGGTCATTAAGGTTGCAATACATTCCTTGATACCAACAGGAGAGTCTGCTGTGAAGGGAAAGAGGATAAAGCAGTAAGGTGTGATTTTAGAGATGGTGAGGCAAGCCTAGCACTTCTCTGAGGGGAAAGGAAAGCAGAGGGGAAGGAAAGGAAAGCTCCGCCCCCAGCTGTACTGTTTGTTTTGCATATAATGAAGGCTACGGAGGTCTTTCTCTGCTGTTGTTGCCAGGGGTCTAGAGTTTAAATATATCACAGATGGAAATTCCATATTAAAAAGCCTTCCCCTAAAAAAGATTTTTCTTGATTAAATTTTTTTCACTTAAGGAACGTTCTTTGAACTAGTTTCAGAAAATAAACTCTTAAATTCTTTCCTCAGGCCAGTGAAATTGCCCTAGAGAAACAGATCACCACCTATTCTTCGTTTACTGTAGAGACCAGCTCTCCACCTCCCAAATAGAGGCCCATGGCTTGATATGTGCTTTGGGGACACAGGTGCTAACTAGCTTTATAGAGTTTAAATGAGTTCATAAAGTAAGCTTCATGCGTCCTGTGCACAGTTACTGGTTCAGGGGTGTGCAGCAGGGACTGTCTGGCTAGTGAGAGCTATTGGTTACCTCAGACCACCACCTGGGGACTGATTTTAATCCTTGAATTCAACCTGCTTCAAGAACAGCTTCATTCGCATGCAGGAATTTCAGCTTCTCCCTTTTTCTTCTCAACTCTTGAATAACACAAAGTGAAATGCCCAAAGGCAAACTACAAGAGAAAAAAAGGCCAGCAGTTTTGTGGTAACCTAAGACCATGCCTCTAAGAAAATCTCAATTAATTTCAAATTCCTCTTTCTAAAACTCCATCCTTCTCATCCATCTCAAAGTCATTCTCCAGAAAATTTTAGGTGATATTTCCATTTCTAGTGTGTCTTAGAGTCATTTAACTCAGCTTCCTAAGGGCTGAGGTAGTAGGTGATTGCTGCCATGCCCACCAGCCCTTCCTACAAGGAGCCTGAGATGAAAAGATGCCCAAAAGTAACATTATGTGCAACTTTGTTCAGTAGTAAACTATGGTAGAAGGAACAATGGAGGCATGTCCTCAACAATAGGAAAGACCGTACATAGAGGATGTATGATGGCCCATTATCTTAGAAGGAGTCTGTGAGGAACAACCATTCCAAGGAGGCCTATTACAGTCAAGGGTTTAGAGAGTATGCCTTCCATAGAAACCTGCCCTGGTGAGGATTGGCCAACAGAAACGAGGATATCTTAAGATGGATACAATAAATTGTATCTCTGTCCAAGAAGTCACTGTGGAAACTGTCTCCAATTGTTGTAGCCCTACATAGTGGAAGTAGTGAAGATATTGAAGACCTGGCTGAATAAGAACTTTGAAAACTGCCCCCATCACCTGCCAAAAAACCTGGAAGGGCACCATCACAGAGAAGCAGAAATGCCATTAGAACTAGATGTTAATTTTATTCTTCATATAAATTTATGGACATTGAACCACTGTTAGTAGAGGCTGCTCGTTTGTTGCCAGCCACCCATACCCAAAATAATCACACAGAAACTTTATCACAACACTGCTTGGCCAATAGCTTACGCTTACTTTTAGCTAACTCTTGCATCTTAAATGAACCCATTCCTATTATTTTGTATTTTATCATGAGGTTTGTGGTTTACAGGAAAGGTTCTGTCCAGTGTCTGTCTCCTACAGCACCTGAATGGCATCTCTGTAACTCCACCTTCTTTTGTCCTCTATCTCTGTTTAGAATTCCTGCCTTGTTATATTCTGTGCTGCCACAGGCTCAAAACAGCTTCTTTATTAAACAGTGGTAATAAAACATACTCACAACATACAGAGGGGAATCCCATATTAGACCAGTTTCCCCCCCAGAAAAGCAATATGCTAATGAAGCTTCTTTGTCTGCTTTCCACCTCTACTAATCATTTGCTGTGGAACTGGGGAATACTTTAGGCTTGTGACCAGCATCATTCAATCCCCTCCTGCTCTACCTCTTGTTTATCTCACTCTGCCTCATACCAGAACATGTAAATACCAAACTCATTTTTTCAGATTTAAGCCTACCCCTCTACTGATGTCCAAAAAAAGGAGGATTACCTCAGTTCCTTATTTTTTTCTGTATTTAGTCAAATACAAAAAATGGATTTTTTTCTGTCAAAAATTCATTCATACACCCCCATCCACCAAACTGTCCACTTGTAGATATGCTGAAGCCAGAGTAATTTTATGTGAAAAAATATTTTAACCAAGTTATGGCACTCACCCTTCAAAGACATTCATCTCAAAATGGTATCCCTAGTGAATGTCAAAACCTCTGAATAGGCAAATGGATGGAAATAGAAAACACTATCCTGAGTGAGGTAAGCCAGACCCAAAAAGAGGAACATGGGATGTTCTCACTCATATTTGGTTTCTAGCCATAAATAAAGGACATTGAGCCTACAATTCGGGTTCTTAGAGAAGCTAAAGAAGAAGGAGAACCCAAAGAAAAACATATAGGCATCCTCCTGAATATTAACCTTCATCAGGCGATGAAAGGAGACAGAGACAGAGACCCACATTGGAGCACCGGACTGAAATCTCAAGGTCCAAATCAGGAGCAGAAGGAGAGCGAACATGAGCAAGGAACTCAGGACCGCGAGGGGTGCACCCACACACTGAGACAATGGAGATGCTCTATCGGGAACTCACCAAGGCCAGCTGACCTGGGTCTGAAAAAGCCTGGGTTAAAACCGGTCTCACTGAACATAGCGGACAATGAGGACTACTGAGACATCAAGAACAGTGGCAATGGGTCTTTGATCCTACTGCATGTAGTGGCTTTGTGGGAGCCTAGGCAGTTTGGATGCTCACCTTACGAGACCTGGACGGAGGAGGGTTTTCCTCGGACTTCCCAGGGGACGGAGAGCCCTGATTGCTCTTTGGGCTGACGAGGGAGGGGGAATGGATTGGGGGAGGGGGAGGGAAAGGGGAGGCGGAGGTGGGGAAGAGACTGAAATATTTAATAAATAAATAAAGAAAGAAAGAAAGAAAACGAAAAAAAAACCTCTGAATATAATTCTGTAACTGTCACAGCACAACCTTCAAGTTAGAAACTTTCACTTCCTGTCCTCAACACTAAGCAGGTCCTGCCCTTTAGGATGCAGGCCTCTGCTGGAGGAGGACATAGGCTCCCCCCCCCCGGAGCCAGTGCCCCCACCCTCTGAAGATGCCCAAGAAAGAATGAAGTCCAATAGCTTTGTGTTCTGTCCCACTCCATGGGCACTGCACAGACGTAGTGCAGAGAATTACACACGAATGAAGCACTCATCAGATAAACATGAATGA